CACATGTATACATATATATATATATATATACACATATATATTATGTACATAAATTATCTAAATAAATAAGTAAAAATGTACATATAATTGCATGCGATGTATTAATAAGAATTAATTTAATTTTGTTTACAAAATATTTACACAATACATATCTGTATAACGTGTATTTATACAGTACAATACACACATGCGTGCATACGTAAAATTGTTTAATATGCAATCTATTACATTACTCTTGTGTTGCTATTGAGAGCAATATATTGGCCATGTTGAAAATATCAGTATCGGTTGTATCTGATAATTCTGCCAATTTTGCTACAATAATTTGCTCTCCCAAAGCATTTGTATCCAAACATAGAAAAAACGTTGTGCAATATACTATTGCTGCACTTAAGTAAAGTACGTTGGATTTCAATGATATCAGCTTCCGGGCTACATATTCTGTATTTATAGTATCTTTGTGCATGTAATATGAATGAAATTGTGAGTACAATCTGTCATGCTGGAAATGTGTACAACTTAGTGAAATATGTATTGTATAAATTGTCAATTGTATGAAGAAATAAATTAGATAATGTCTAAACCTTTAGATAAGCCAAATCCAATAAATTTATCGAAATGTTAAATGTATTTGGCGTTTCTCCAAGACCTGTCGCTGCCAGAAGAATTTCGATACAATGCAATGGTGTGTAAAGGGGCATTGTAAATCCTACTGTTTTAAAAACTTTAATTTCCGAAGAGGAAATCATATTTCGCGTATATTCAGACTCTTTGTCAATTAGATATAGAATATTAAGAATCTAACAAAACAAATTTTATCTGTTAAGATTTGTCATGATGCTTAAATTCTTCACAAAGTATCATCTTTCAATGTACCTGAGGTATTCCTAAGATACTGGAATGAGAATCCATTTTGCACGCCAATTGAAAACATGACATTAGATTTAATTTTGTTTGATTAGAAGTTTTCTTGCAAATTTTAAACCACAATGCTTCAGATGGATCATTTGCAAACTCAGTCTTAAAAAGCTCCCAAAAGTGTCTACACATGAATCTGTCGTACAGCTCAATAGCCATATACTTGACATTTGGCTCTAACTCCAAGTATTCCGCTATCTTGAAAGCAGCTTTCATAGTAGATGCTGAAATCGCTGTGTTGATTATAATATAATTTGAAATAAAGTAGTAAAGTGATATTCTAACAAGTTTTCCAAATATCTTTCAATATCTCTTAATCCACTGTTCGCGACACATAATATTTACTCTCTTGTTGCCTACCTACAAATGGTATAGCAAAATCGGTTGCATTAGCAATCTGCTCTTGTTCCTGTTTTCTCATAGTTTGCTGAAGATGTTCCATCCAATCATGAATCAATGGTTCTAGCAACAAATTTAAAGATATTCAAATGAAAATTGAGTAAACTTTTCAATTTGTTCTAATCTCTTACAATTTTAGAATATTCTCCCTCTCCCCCCTTCTCATTCTATTTTTTTAAAATGTAGGTTACATATAATGTTAATTCATATACTTGTTTATACCTTCTTATGCGTGTGTGGAGAGGAGAAAGATATAATATACTTTGATTAAATTGTATTAAAAAAAAGAATATTCAATATATGTAATACAAGACAGAAGTACTCGTGTACGAGTGATATACATACAGTATACTTTTCTAAATAATAAACAATAAGCATATATATGCAAAATTGTTTCAGATGGAATAAATGCATTTACCAATGTAAGCTGTATCTAGATCCATTTCTACCGCGTAATAAAATATGTAGTAATATAGTTGTGCTAGTGATCATCTATTTATATTTACAAATTAATACGCGCCACACAAAATATAGGTGTCATAAAATATCACAATATAGATTCGCATACTCTCGGTGAAAGAGAGTTTGGAGCTTACCGAAACCACCGATGAGATACTATTAAAGACCGACATCCTTACGAGAGTTCGCGTCCTTGTGAATTAAAGTGATTAAGAATTAAAAACTGATAATATTGTACTTATTTTATGATTTATTAGTTTAATAGATGTATTTATGCATTTAAAACTCAATAATATTCGATTTTTCTTTAAAATTGTAATTTCAGTGTTATTGTCGAAGTTTGATTATCAATAGAGATGATAACTGCAGAGAAAAAATTGTAATTTTTCTGCAATATATAGGATATTAAAGCTTTACAAGTATGCATATTTATTTATAGAACATTTATGTAATAAAAAATCATGAATTTAATAATGTATGAGCCAAATATTTATGTTAATAATAGCAAATTTATGTCAATTGCTGATAATATCAGCATTCTCCAATTATCTCCGGGCCCTTTTTATACCGCTGAAAATTTATCTAGAGTTGACGGTCTTTAATAGTATCTCGTCAGTGCCGAAACTTACAATGTAAGGCTGGAATCAAACTATGCATTAAAGATTGAGATTAAAGATTAAAGATTGAAATTTCACCAATGAGAAGAAAGAAATTTTGGCTCCTTTTGTTCTGATTGGTCAAACATCAATGGTTGCGTTCAGCAAACTCAACAGTTGAGTGAGCGCTCACTGTTATTGGTGTATTTTTTTAGATCATCCAATCAGCATTTTAAATCTGGAAGAATACATCAATAAGTACAGTGAGCGCTCACTTAACTGTTGAGTCCGCTGAACGCAGCCAATCTTTCAATCTTCAATCTCATTCTTCAATGCGTATTCTGATTCCCGCCTGATACTGGCTAGTTTCCACCGAGGGTTTAAACCAGATCAGAATGTAAAAATCAACCAACTGCAGTCGAGCATTCTCCTGTCGTTCAACTGTAATAGTAGTTAACATTTCTGTGTCCTAGCTGGAAAACAGCCTTGATGAGTTTTGGAATACATTCGATTATCCAATATGAGAATTGATTTTATAGGGATAACTAGAAGATGAATTTTCCAATGTTTGATACATTGGCTGCGCGTTTAGCTTAGTTTAGCAGAGAAAAACTCTAGGTAGCCTCTCTCAGACTTTTCTCTGGTTTCATTATCGACTGATGTCGAGTAAGTCCAAGAACGAGAATCAACGTAAGTTAATAAAAGTTGAAAATGATTCGAACGTGTTTGTTACGTGTTTGTGGACTTGTAAAAAATTCGCCAAAAAACGTTCCATCTGTGAGCAACGGTACGAAATGTCAACGAAATACGTTTTTTTTTACATATATCCCATTCAAATTAATTTATCAGTTCAATTTATTTGCTATTAGTCACTATAATGTTTAATATAACATCTTTTTACAGATATACATAATTTATTTGCTGTTGATTACATACACCCACATCTGTTAAAGACGCACATCCCTTTGGTACATAGTACGAGAAATACGACATTTTTTGTAAATAGTGAGTAAAGTTTTGGTGAACGTAATATTTTAGGCAAAAAAATGCTTGTAATGTTCTCTCTCCTCACGCTCTTCTCTCACAGAATCTGCGGATGAATTATGGAAGGGTGTGACAACTGTCAGTAATGCAGGAAGACGTAGAGGTAGAGCGAAAGGTTTAAAAAAAAAGAAAGATTTAAACAAGGGTCAGATTATTGGAGTAGGAAAAGTTCCAATGCAATTCCCTGGTCTCAACACTCCTGTGTTTAGAGGTAAAGAACTCGTGCAACAGCAAAAATTACCTGTTGATCCTAAAAGAGAAGAAAACCTCGCCAAGCTACGGCAGATCCGTTCAATGGGACCAAAACGGATGAAATTGTCACCTTTGGAACGTGGTTGGACAAGTGCTCAGATTGGTGGCAGAAAGGTTGGACCACCAGATCCTATTGGAGAAGGTTATTATTATTCACTATAGTTAACTATATATTTACAATTGTCCTATATATACAATTACATTAATGTAATAACTGTATATGATTAAATTACAATACACACACACACACACACACACACACACACACACATAAAGTTTAACTATTAATATTCATCCTGTATATACATATATAATACTCTTATCAACTTTCTTCTCAACATACATACACACACACACAATTCTAATGTTATCAAGATTATATAAATGATGCATCTGTCTTTTTCAGATACCTTTGATGGCTTTGATACTTGGATATTGGAAAGCAAAATGGTAAATCATATGACTGGTAATTTAGGGCGCAGGGGCAGGATCAGTATATTTGTTGTAACAGGAAATGGAAATGGTGTGGTTGGATTTTCACTAGCAAAAGCACCTGTACAGAAAACAGCGATAAAAACGGCTAAGAATAGGGCGGGTCAAAGATTGATGTATATTTCTAGATGCAAGGAGCATACTGGTAAAAAAATAGTATGATTATATAAAACTTGTATTTCACTTGTTCTTTTTAATGTCACGTTATGTGTGACTTTGTTTCAGTATTACACGATTTTGTTACACAATTTGGAAATACAAAGATATTTGTAAAGAAAATGCACGAAGGATACGGACTTGTCTGCCATCGTGCGATAAAAGCATGTTGCGAAGCGATTGGTATAAAAGATATACATGCCAAAGTAGAAGGTTCTATAAATTTACAACATATTGTAAAAGCTTTCTTCATTGGTTTATTGCAACAGGTATATATCTCACAGGGTATCAAATCTCTTAATTCAATGATGTCAGAGAGTTTGCGAATTATTGCAATCTATAGCTAGTATTAATGTTTCATTAACTTTGCCGCTCACTTCATCAGAGTAAGGAGTATGCTGATAATGAGCTGCTCTTTTGGAGAATCTCCTTTATGTAAATGCTGTTTATATAAAGGGATAATGAGAAGGAGAAAGAGGTGGAGTAAAAGGACACTTCGTCTTAATATAATATATCACCTAGCGCATTCTCTCTTTAATTTGTTAGATGTATCAAAAGTTGTCAATCTCAAAACGAACAGATTGTTTTTATGTTTAAAAACTTTTTCATAATCTTTAAATTATGAACAATTAATGTGATGAATTTTAAACTTATTTAATCAGATGAAAATGTACAAATGTGTACATATGACACAACTTAGTCCTTTATTTACATATTGTTAATTTTTAATGGAGTTTATTGATTTTTCGCTACAATTATGCGTTACAAAACGCATGATGAGCGAAAAGCTATTTGTCAAAAATTCGTTGCATTATGCCCTAAATTAATCCGACAATCAACAAGAAATTTTTTTTTACAGAAATCATATCAACAACTAGCGGACGAAAAACGATTGCACTTAGTTGAATTTAAATCAGAAAATGGAAATTATCCAGAAGTAGTCGCTTCGCCATCGAAAGTTAGAAAGTTAGGAGAAATAAAGTCGAATGAGATCCTCGATTTTACTCAATACGTTTTGGGTGGCAAAATAGTATTAAAGAAAAAGAAATATCCTCCATTTTATACTAAACATCCATTGTACAAAACAAAATTGGTAAAATTGGAACGATTGAGGAACTTTGATGAAACGAGGATAAAATTAATGGCAGAATACGGAGCGTTGCATAGTTTTCTGACTGAAAAGTATCCGGAGGCAAAGCTGCGTCCTAAGCCAAAACGAAGCGAGAACAATGAAACGGAAGAATAGAAAGTATATCTGATTGTTATACTCTATGTATGAATACTTAAAATAAAGCCTTTATTATTACAAGATTATGTTTTTATATTGAAGTATACACATTTAAATATTCAGATTTTTATCTCAACGGTATATGCTTCGTTTGTTTATGTGAAAGATTAAAGATAAATATATGACAATTTTTTTATAAATTTTAAATGGCTGCAGGAAAAGCAGCTTTACAACTGTTACTCCGGATCTACAATAGATTTTTAAGCCATAAGGAATGGACGAATCACAATCATTATTCTCCTCGCATTTGATAATAGTTGATCAATTTCTTAAGGCTTAAAACACTTATTGTAGATCCGGATTTATTCGCTCGTATCGCAGTATTTCGTGAGAATTTTTACAGCGCACAATTGACTAATTAAAATAAAATAATCTCATTGGTAAAACAGTGAAAAGTTACTAGGCATTAGCCAATGTGAGACTGGCGTCACAGTATATACAGTAGTGCAACTCTCCTGATTTTATGTTGGCCAATGGAGTGCGCATGCGTGAAATAAGTAAGTTGCTTCGTCTCTTTTCCTCCCTTTTTTTTATTGTTCTCTCTCTTTCTCTCTCTATTTAAATAAGCGTTTCAATGTTCCACTTAAACGTTTGTCTTTCAAGCATACATGGTTCAGAGTAGAAATTTAGAGGAAAGTATTACGTATATTATCCGTTTGGTGAAATGTTGTGTGAGAAATCTCGAAAGATTGGTCTAATTTTTATGAAAAAGTGATAAAGTGAAAAAGTGAACAAAAAGTAACATAGAAAATTGAGCAAAAAGGATTAATTTTTATTTATTGTATTTTAAACTTATTTTTTGGCATATATGTATATAAATTTCTTTTATATTTCTTAGCTTTCTCATAACATTTTCATAGATATATAATTACAAAATATTTCTTTATACAAATGTACACACATTTTTAAGTTAATTTAATATTTTTCCTAATTTTTCTATATTTTTTTTTTATTTTTCATATATTTAAAATTTATTTTTATTAATTTTCATAAAGTCTAAATTATTTTATTGCAATATTAGGCTTATTCGCGTCACATGCTCTAATATGCTCCAATGTGTTCCTACAATAGCACTTACTCACTTCAATGAATTTGTTGGATTGCGATGCGAATAAATCTAGTGAATTTTGCGAGGAATTTTGACAGAGTAAAAAAAGAATGAAAAGAGAAAGAAGTTTAGGTGGTAACCATGGCAACGTTAGGTAACTTACTTATTTCACGCATGCGCACTCTATTTTTGCCAACAGTAACATCAAAGATACTGACAGAGAGTCACGCTACTGTAGCAGTATGTTCATGTTCATGCGGTTATGTAGAGCACGTGTCATACTGATAGGTTAGGTAGCGATTTGTTTGACTACACATGAACAGTCTCTCGCAAGTTTGAAAAGTTGGAAATAGATCCAAGAACGAAAAGCAGGATAGAAGGAAGCGATGGGCAAATTAAAGCCTCGTTTGGCAAGTAGAAAGAAGGCGAAGCGATGGGCGAAAGGCCAGAGTTCGAGTTCCAACCCGGTGACCACGAAATATCGCGAGCTAGC